ACATCTCTGTACTGTACAGAACAGTAGAAGAGTAGACAAGAATTTCAACGAAAGAACTTCAAAGTCTATTTGTTTTGATTATGTTTTTGTTATTTTTTTTTATTTTTTTTTATTTTTTTTTATTGCTACTTTAAGATCTACCAAGTGTATTAAAGACATTAATACACGTCAGCGTAGGGCCGGAAGGTGATAAATTAAATCGGCCCTGAATGAATAACGGCCCTCGGGCTAAAGCCCTCGGGTCCATTATTCATTTTGCGGGCCGATTATCACCTTCCGGCCCTATCCTGCCGTGTATTAACCTCTTATTATACTTCCAATTTCACCACAAAGTGGTTCGAACATATACGCTTATTAAACTTATTAATATTTTCTTTGTTGATGGCACATTATTTGTTAGTGAAAGAAAACTTTCACAAGAAACAATGCATTATTTAGTATTTTCAACACCACGACAATGTTGCATAATTGTACAGACGTTTGCAATCATACGGAATCTTAAAGCTGAGGAAAGGACATGCAAAATATCCTTGTCATATCCAGCTAAATCGTGTAATTTGTCTGTGACTTGCATTAAAACACAAATCATGAAGACGTCAGACAGGAGCCTTGTTAAGGGCCTTTTCTTCCTCTGGTTATTATGTGTTTTATTAAAGGAATCATACAGTATTCATTTTCATAAGAATACATACAGTGATTGGTATTCTGGACACAAATGCCTCTCAAATGAAACGGTCTTTAAAATTTATGATGTGTTTGAGGTCTTACAATGCGGGAAACTTTGCTTTACAAGAAGTGAGTGTCGCAGTGTTTTCTATCAACCGGAGGAACATACATGTATTGGATGTCGTGTCAGACTTGGGAGTTGTGATGTGAATTTTGTGGCATATCCTGATTCGCTTGCATTTGATATTGACTCGATTCTGAGTAAGTTGCAAGGTGTTTTCTTTATGCACAGCTATAAAATACTTCTTTGCATTTGTAAAGTATTTTAAATATATATTGAAAGTAGTCTTAAAACAAGAGCTTCCTGAAAAGGTGATTCACACCTATTCTGTCAACTCGATTTAGTATGTTATGGCAAACTATTCCCTTGTTTTAAAAGTAAAAACCTGTATTTTTGGGTTGAATCACAACATTTGAAACAAAAGTGGCTTGTTGCCTGATATAAAACCGATGATTTGATATTTTACCTGTGTCATTCATTAAAATCGTTACATTTCATGGTCCCGCGATTTATCCAGAAACCGTGTTTGTTGCAATACTGAACATGACAAAATAGAGAAACAAAGAATTCCCTAAGATTTCCAAAAACGGCAAAAATAGATTGAAAATATTACATGTTCGGTTTGGTTAAGCCTGTATATGGACGGTCTTGGAAAGTGCAAGCGACCTTGCATGCCACATTTCCCTCCCTCCTAGTGCCGAAGTCAAAATTACTTAATTGTCTATAGACATTTGTGTGGCAATAATTTTACGATATGCTGAATTTCAAATATCGGTCATCTGAAAACCATGTCACTGACTTACCGACCGACCGACCGACCGACCGACCGACCGACTAACCAACCAACCAACCAACCAACCAACCAACCAACCAACCAACCAACCAACCAACCAACCAACCAACCAACCAACCAACCAACCAACCAACCACCCAACCAACTGACAAATAAACAATCCGACAAACTGACTGACCGACCGACACGCTTACGTCTTCAACTGTGCCCTCTGCCTCCCAAAAAAAAAGTAATAAAACGTCCATCATTTTTATAAACAAACAATAAATTAATTGCGTTGTACATGAAAGCAACAATGCCTTAAGTTTGTTTGTTTGTGTTTAACGTTACATTGACATAGAACTGTTCATATCGCACCGAACATATTTATTAACATACGATTGTTTAACCTATAAAAGGTTAGTACAAGCTTATAAAATCAGTAAGAGATAGAAAACAGGTTTATTTATATAAAGTAAAATATTCAATAGACATGTTTTGTGCCTCAAATTATATAGATTTATCAAATTAATATTTTTTATTTTAAGAATGAATACAGCGGGGTCACATCATTCATTTAACTTTATGCAGTTCTAACATAACTTCACTCTAACATATGTCAGTGCATATGTGCATACGTCAGTGAAAATAGTGTAAAGGTAGCCGGTATTAGAATTAATTAAATTTAAAGTTATTATTCTGTACAATCACGAGACGTAATTAATGCTTCCTTTACAGTACTAACTAACTTAATGGTTAAACTATGTTTTGAAGATTTATACAGTGCAAATCATGGTTCACTGATTTATCGGGATAATATTGAATGGCAAGTTTGTGTAGAGCACTTGTACAAGATAATTTGAAAAAAAATAAAAAAGATCAAACGAGCAAAATATAAGTTCAGCCATTCAATTAAAGTTATTTCGCGTTTATATATTCTTTTATTTCATATGTTTTAAGCAGAAAAAAACGTATCTGATACTGATACTGCATCTGACTGTAAGGATGTTTTGCTAGACAGGCCCTCATCTCAAAGCGGCATACATGACATTACACTCCGGAAATCAAAATCAAAACTCAAAGTGTATTGCGACATGGAAACTGATGGTGGCGGTTGGACTGTAAGTGTAAAATTAATACCACGTGTAATTGATATCTCAAAAAAGATTTTATTTTAACATATTTAGCATGTTAATTAAATTCTGTAACATTGCAAGACATAATGCATTCGAGAACTGCTTATTTCTCTTATCTTCCTCACGAAGAGCTTTTCAGTCAGTATAAAGGGAGGGTACCGTCAAATAGGTTCAATTCAAGTTTTAGAAATACGTAAATTAAACCCTATATTTAATCTCAACTTAAAACAATACTAACATATACCCTTACAGTTCAAAAAATAAGTTTCGAATTTTGAAACTCATTAAACAAAATGAGAGCCTGATATAACATTATTGCTGAAGCAGATTATTTTGATATATTCCTTCAGCCATTTGGTGATATTTCAAAAAAAGATTTCATAATACAAAAAAATAAAAAAAAATAACAACAACAACAAAATAAAAACAACAAAAAAACAACAAAAAAACAACAACATGTGGGTTGTCTAGCCACGTAGGGATAGAATGGAAAAAAAACGAAGTTGATGCTTAGAATGATTTATCATGAAACACTAACCCAAAATACTTATTCTGACTTAAAAGTAACTTTAAATATCCTTTAAGTACATAAATTTCAAATGAGATAGAATAGGAACAAAGCCTTATTTGCTGGATGAAACATCATCCCTATCTTTGTTTCCAAGAAGTTCTTCTTCAATTTCGACTTGGACACACTAAAGTTTCACATGTACATCTTTTGACAGGAGAATAACATGATTTTGCAAAGGTTCGTGATCAGCTTTATTATACTTCGAGGCCTTTTTTGCCTCAGTTCCAACAAGACACCAAGAGAAACTTAATATAAAAGCCTTGATCGATTACTTAAAGAACACAATAAACAATATAATACCTTACAATTATAATATATTTCCTTATAATACAAGGAAATGAAATATCATTAAACTCAAGAAGTTTTAATTACCAAATCTTGTATTATATGAATGCTATTCAAACTGGGACAACACCGCACTCGTCACTTGATGAAATTCATGTTGTTATGTTAATCGTCTCTTTCATTGCTTTAAACCTATTTTTTGAAGCTAGATTGGACACACTAGAGTCATAAGTTCTTAGTTTTTCAACACGAGAAACTGTTCCATTGTGTATAGTTTTCAATGAATATATCTTTGTACACTACATCCTTCTTGAATACCAAGATCTTCTAATAAACCTTATCGTATAATTTGCCTCAGTAAAGTCATTCCCATTGATTTGCTTTTTAAGGATTTTATTAATTTCTTTAAGCTGAATAGTTTAGGTATTCGACTCGATATGAATAATCATAAGTTGAAACCACAACAAAGTTTGCCCTGAAGGAATGAAGGTCGGATGGACTTTTTCAAGTCTTACGGAATCGTGAACATTCATGTTTTCCTTTGTGTGGTAAACAATGATGTTTATTGAAATAGTTCTTATTACGTTTTGATGAAAAATAATTAATTTATCAAATCTCATTTTAATCATCAAAATCTTTCTTGGCACCTCGAATTACGAGTTCAATAATTTAAAAAAAATATTTCCAGGTTTTTCAGAATAGATTTAAAGGTTCTGTTGATTTCTATCGGAACTTCAATGATTATGAATCTGGATTTGGTGAATTGGATAACGAATTTTGGTTAGGTATGTGCGGATTGCTTTAAAAGTAACTTTAATCTTATCACATAAATCACGACAATGGCTCGTAATCGATATTATCACTATCGCGTAAATAAGTGTTAAACTATAAGTCCGTCAAAGAAAATTTAATGTTAATATGACCGTCTATGTTTGAGATATGTATTAAATAGAATATATTTTACTCAAATTCGCTAGCAATTTCTTGAATTCGTTGATTAAAACAACATTATTAAAGTCGTTCAATACTTTTAGTTTTAAGTATGAATTCATTCAAAACCTTAAATACAATTTACTTTAAGTGGTATTACAGTAAAGAGGAACACAAGAACACAAATTAAAGATAAAGATCTTTTGTTCTTTAGGTGGAGTAAAGAACGACATTTTTAACGCATATATAAGTAATGTAACTATTTTATAACAACTTATAAAGATTAAAGTGCCACATTATGACAGTTGAGTCGATATCCGTTCTTCATAATTGAATTGGAAAAATCACTATTTACATTTGATATTACTGATTATTTACGTTATATAAAACAATAATCTTATTTGTTTGCAAATTTTGATGTCTTAGTGGCTTAAAAACAAATAAAACACATTCTGGATAAAACAATCAACAAAACAAAGGTGTATTTTAACAGTTTCAACGTTTTCACTGTACTTTTTCTCAGTGTAACATTTTCTTAAATATTTCAAAGGAAAACAAAATATATTCATTGTTATACAGGTCTTAAGTATGTTCAGGAAATGACATCTATGGTAAAGGAATGTCAATCAGAACTTAGACTCGATCTTACTGCGAGTGATGGGACAACAGCCTACGATGTGTACAGAAACTTCTTTTTAGGAGATGGTCCATACTATACACTATATCTCAACCCTGGAAACGGATCAGAGGGTAGTGAAAAAGCGTTTAAAATTTTTTTTCATATAATGAACTTCTAATTTTTAATTTTATAACCATATTTGTCTGCTTTGTGTTATGTACATGCTTAAATAGGCGTTATAAATTTTAACAGTGTTTATAAAACTAATATCATTATGATTAAATGTCTTCTTCCTACAAGGTTCATTATGTTACGTTTTGCATGATTTATATTTATAGTTCTGTATCGAAAAAAAGAAGACAATTCATTGCACGGACATAATGGTGTTGCCTTTTCAACATTTGATAAGGACCAAGATCAATCTGAAGTCAGTCATTGTGCCGATGAATATCAAGGAGGATGGTGGTATAACCGGTGTGGACGGCAAAATCTGAACGGACCATACATCGTACCAGGAACCACGGGTACTCACTTAACGAGGGCGCACTTTTACTTTCCATTTCAAAGTTATGTTGCTCTTGAGGGATCGCGAATGATGTTCCGCAGGCTGTAAAATCCCCTTTCTTTGTATTTCAGTGAATGGCTATGAAAAATTCTTCCTGTGTTTAATTGATAAAGTCTTCTCATTCTTCGGTTTGAACCATTGAAAAATGTAATAATTTATTATATTATACTACACCATGGAAATCAAAACCAACAGTATGCATAATGTAAAAGAAAGAGCAAATTAAATCGGAAAAATGTTGATTTAGATCAATATACAATTATTTTACTTATTTAGCATTATGCTCATTTTTTTCAATTGTCAATTTGAGCTAAACTTGCTATACATTTCAAAAGATTGACTGTTGTAATGGTTATTGAGCAACAGGATACTGTATATTGGAAAAGAAAAAATATAAATCTGTCGCCTAAGATATCAAAAGACTGTCCTCACTCATTTTCATAAATCGAACGGTACACCTAGGTTAATTCCGATGGATATCTACAGAAATTTTCTTGAGTTATGTGAATTATTAATCGTTCATGCTAAGAAAAATTTAGAATTAAAAAGAATCAAGGCAAAAAGTAAATTCACTTTCGTTCAATTTAAAACCTATAATGGACATAATGTCACCAACATAAAATAATCATAAAAAAGGAAAAGGTTTCAATAAGTATGATTTTCGTAGAATTACATCAAAACATGGACGAAATTAAAGTAAATGAGCAATTGAACAATTTGTTATGAATTCGGTAATGAAAAGAAAATATTCTGGAATTGTTAAGCGAAATCATTACAGAATGTACCTTATGTTTTAGTCAATAATTTAAACGTCTACTATTCATTGTCAAAATTTCTTTAGATTTAAATTTCTGCTACCCTTTAAATGTTTCATGATCTTACAAAGTGTGTGTTGTTTTTGGCAAATAAATTTAGACAGCATTTATGTTGTGTTTCTCTTATCAAACATCCTTTATTTATCCGACAATTATTATATAACGTATTGAGTATTGTAATTTCAAAAATGAAATTCATTCGTTATGCAAGAATATTTGAAGGGATAGTGAAATATATATTGACTCCAAAGCTATCTCCGTTTCATAAGAAAACAAACAAATAATTAACGTATTTAAGGCTCAAGTGTATTCACACCAAATTGTGTTCACTTTTTACTTACTTTACAAAACTTAATAATTTCAGCTTTATTTCTGAACAAACGTATATCAAGCATGTTGATAAATTTGTTTACTTCTCATGAAGCAAACACCCAAAAATACTTTGGCAACTTGGACCCATGAAAAACGTTCACTAAATTCTAATCTTAAGATTTGACATGATTCATGTTTGCCTGAAGTTATAGCCCATACGTGTGCATGAACATGTGCTTTGAATTATTGATAACTTAAACGTTCCGGAATGTTGGAATGCCTTGTTGTCTTGTTATGTATTCATCAATACCAAAAGATACAAGCTTGTTTTGAAATTTTTTTCTTGTAAAAACAAAACTTAAGCGTTCTAAAGGTTTCTTTATTACTGTCTATTTTAAGATTCCAATAGGTCTATGAATAAGTGTATTTTAATCATATTTTAAGAAAATATTATTACGAATTTTCATTACCCTACATCATAGTACCAATGGTTGTAAAAGCAAAATTGTTAACGCTTATCATCATGCATAATTTCTTTATATAATGAAACAACAAAACAATTTTTCCCTAATAATTTTCATCATTTCATTACTTGAAACATAATTTTGTCTCTACCCATGAAATCATTTAATATTTTGTAATATAAAAAGTACTCGAGAAACAAAACATAAGTATATTTCTATTGTGTGTTATTTTTTTGCACATCAACCAGCCTATACTTGTGGTATGATAGTCAACGATTGGTTTCTGAATTTCATTATGGGCCAATAAAATCCGACATTTGCTTATGTTAAAGGAAAGCAAAAAAATAAAATGCTAATATATTTCTCATTCTGTGGTTATTCAAAATATTTTGACGCGTTACACTTCTAAATCGCTGTAATTGTTTACCTTTCTTACCCGGTTGTTCTCAACATTTGAAATTTATTATGCATTAAGAACTTCTAACAAAACGTAGCGAAAATATTTGAAATATGCTAGATATGTGTCATTATTCAGAGTTTTATTTTGTTATTTAGAAAATACCGCTTACAAAGTCAATGACTTCAAACAAGGCACTTATCTGTACTTTAAATTTTAATGAGCTGAGAATGAGCTGAGAATCTCATGCTGTTTAGAGCATGGAGCAATTAGTTGTTCAAAAAAGAAAATATATGATACGTGGGACATAACGGAAGATCGTGTAACATTTGCCTGTATTCAAATTATCATTTTAAACTGAAACGAACCTTTTTTCCTTTATGTCATAAAAAGGAAGTGACGGGTGGTAGCAGACTGTTTCATTTTATTTTGTTATATAAATTGGTCACGTGAAAGCCTCAGACCAACACTGCACCAGTTACTTTCATTACGATTGAGACAAATAATATATAATTTAATCCGCAAGAAATTTTTAAATCAATGATCTCATAGATCTATCCAAATTTTATAAATCCCCTACTGGTTCAACAGGAGTAAACTTAAGTAAAACCGTCCGTCCTTTCGCCCAGAAAAAACTGGACCCCGTAATAACGCAAAGAGTAATGAAATTTTTTTTATGAAACTTTAAAATAAGGTAGATGGCAGTATGGAAAATGCGCATGTATGACGTTAAAAAATTTGTTGCTTTCAAATTGCTTCAAATTTTAAATATATCTTTTTTAACAACACCTACAGCTTAAGTGAATAGATTTATTTAAGTCTAGTGTCATCCTTATTTTCATTTTGAACTTAGAATTCTTTCGAAAGTTGTTGAATTTTTACGGTAAAAAATTCCTTATTAGGCAGGGGAACTTAACACATTACTATGATACAAATAAAAAACTCAAAGGAATTAAGTTCATTATTAGGCAGGAGAACTTAACACATTACTATGATACAAATTAAAAACTCAAAGGAATTAAGTTCATTATTAGGCAGGGGAACTTAACACATTACTATGATACAAATTAAAAACTCAAAGGAATTAAGTTCATTATTAGGCAGGAGAACTTAACACATTACTATGATACAAATAAAAAACTCAAAGGAATTAAGTTCATTATTAGGCAGGAGAACTTAACACATTACTATGATACAGACAAATTAAAAACTCAAACGAATGAAGTTCTTTATTAGGGAGGGGAACTTAACACATTACTATGATACAGACAATTAAAAACTCAAACGAATTTAGTTCAATTATGTATTCCGCAATGGAATAATTGAATGACAATGGCCCTTCAGTATGTTACTATGGATGTAAGCAGTAGAGAACCTTTGATTGTTTAATTAGTTCCAGAAACACCTCAAATATACATAGAATTAGTAGATATGCATCATTGAAACAGAAGATATGCATCACCAGCTACCATTTAAATTTATCCCATCTTATTATCACCCTAAACAACTTAACTATTCAAATTGATGAAAATTTAAAAGGTCGAACTTTATGCTTTAAATTAGTGCTGAATCGCATGGTTTTGATAACAGGTCACATTCACCATATTGCAAAAGGAATTAGCCCACAGGAGTTCTCTCCCAAGCATTTGAGGACTAGATTACTTCATTCATTTTAATACTTTAAAAATAGATTTATTGGCAACATATTTTTCCACTTAAATTTGCCTTAACTTTCAGTTTACTACACTCAGAGGATTAAAGGCGTGCTTTCTAACGTAACTATGACCTTATGTTCATATTTGTAATATGTACATGGGACAATTATGTAGACCAAGACAACAAAATTTAACAAGGATAAGGCAATTTTTATTATCTTTAAATTTAAACCAATCAATATTTTTAAATGTAAAATCTTCCAAACCAATACAAGACAATGTGATGAATTTGAGTATTTTTCCTTCTATTTGAAGCGGAAATGGTGCAAAAATATAGAACCATAAAGTATAATGCATACATTCTTTTATTCATACATTGTGAAGGACAAATATGTTTTAAAAATGATTTTCTTTTATTTCTCTAAAGATTTTTTAAGTATTTTTTGTTGTGACCTGTTTAAAAGTAAAAAAAAACAACAAAAAAAAAACAAAACAAAAAAAACAAAAAAAACAAAAAAAACGAAAGATTGAAAATGTGACAAGCTCGGCTTGATTCAGCAGTTTTCATAAAGATACATGTTGGTTAGTTCATTACTAGAACCTGAACATTTTTATGCTTCTGTTGCTTTTTGCAACAAATAATTTATGACAGTGATTCTGTTTTTGCACAGAATTCTAAATATTATTTTGTTGATATTTTGCTTCTTTGATGACAAATAATTCCATAATAAAGCGCTTTCTTTTTCAGGTGATAAATCTGTAACATTATTCAAGATCATTATTTCATCGTAGTAAATACAGTAAATAGCAGTTTAAGTATATTCTAAAATTTAATTTTAATAAGGAGGAAACACAGACAGAAAAGTGATGTTTCCATGAGACATTATGGAATGTTACCCTCTTATGTCAGATAAAGCTATAAAATAAATAAATCACATTAGGTATTATAATATGAAATGCACGAAAAGACTAAAACTGTTGTATCATCACCTTGGACGAAGCAGAGCAGAAACACAGAGAGACATATATAACAGGTTTGCTTTAAACTTTTGGTTGACAAGAAAATTTATCATCTTATCAACTCGGATATACCAGATACAATGTATATGGTCTAAAGACATACGCTATATAGAAGGGAAATAACAGTAGACAGTAGACATTTTATTTTATTCCAATAGGCTTTAAAGCCCATGCGGACATAAATCATGACGAAATCACAATAACGAACAGTGTATGACATAAACATATATACACAATATCAACAATCATGGAAAAAAGTTTGGAGAAGATCAATTTTGATTGATAAAGTAAATACCAGCCGAAATTTTCTTAAGTAGTTACATAATGAACATTTTCATATCAAAATTGATCTTTGAACCACTAACTTATAGATCTATTATATATA